CAATTCATTGGAAACTATATTTCAAACAGCAAACAATTTATAATAGGTGTATATAACTGATATAAGTATTAGCTAGGTACATATACCTGGTTCCAAAAAAGAATAAACCAGGCGGTCATGGGCAAAACTGGTATTCTTACGTAAATCTGGTGTCTTCTCTTTTGGAACAGGGTATAGACTATAGAACCAGTAAATCATGATGTGGTAAAAAAACCTAATAGTAAGCGTAAGAATTCAATTAAATATTGCATAGGAAAACAATAAACCTATCTAAGCAATTATAATATTATACCTATTATTTATTTACCTCAATGATTGACTGGGACTATGACGATGATAAAAACCACTGACCGATGGAGATGTACCGAGGAAAAAGCAATACAGACAGGTGCTTATAGACGATTTTGACCACCACAGTATGATGATAGATCATCAATAATTATCATCGCTGTACGTGAATTAAATGACCACTGATCTGGTGTGATGTGAATCTTTTCTATAGTGGACAGTGAATCTTGGTTTGGACAATTTTGAAATATGATTCGCAGCTATGTCCAAAATTTGAACGAACCTAAAAAAAAGCATATTAACCACGGTCCACGAATAAAGATAGCATATCGAGTATAGACTAATCACGAATTAAAATACGGGACTGTTCATGCCAGTATGAATTGAATTAATACATACTGGACGTCTGGAACTCGATGGAGCTATGAATTACAATCTAGACGCCAATTGGCAATTTGATTTGCGCCTTCGTCCCTGATGTCACCGCTGATCATGCTCAAAGCCACTGCAAACGCTCAAAAAATCACCAGTCATCATGTTAATAATATGGTCCAAATATCCCGGTGAATTATTTTTCACGCCATGAAATATGAATTAAGACATACAGGATACACAACGGGCACTTACACTTAACCACAGAACAATAACCAGTTGTTATAAGAACCTTCTTCGTTCTTGAACTGACAGATAGCGCTAGAAGGTGGCGGTGGTGAGTTTTGTAGTCTTGTACAATACAGAAGCGACACTGCTTGGTGGTCGATCTCTGGTGGTTTAGTGTTGAAGTTGTAAATGATTACCTGGTGGTTTAGGAGTTTTGTTACGAACGATTTTTTTTTTACAATAAACGGTTTGTTGTTTGTTTGCGTTTTAATACTATATCACCCGTATGCATAGTCCGATACTTTAAGGGCACCTTAAATCACTTAGGTAATACTTAACTACGGGACACCTAAGTGATACGTAGTCGACACGTAATTTTTGGTTGCATAGTTGAAATTTAAGTAACCCGTAGTTAGGTACTACTTAAATATTAAGGTATTACTTAATATTTATTTTTCCTCAAAATTATTTTATTATTCCATGCTTATCAATAATTGTTATGATAATTATTGGTGTTATCAGTTTGATACTTATAATTAATAATAAAGACATTATAATCAAACTGATTTTTTCAACTTGAAAGTTGAAAGTTTAAGTACCTACTCGCACAGAATGGATTTAAAGGCAAATAAAATGTCGAAACGTGAAAGAGGTCCAAATTGGGAAGAAGATGAAAAAACTATATTTTTCCATTGCTACCAAAATGTGGCCAAAGTATTGGAAGATCCGAAAAAGGATTTTAATACAAATACCAAAAAAAATCAAGCTTGGTTAAATCTAATGAACAATTTTAATGGTCATTCTAACGTTAAAAAGGTAATTATTAAACATTGATTTCAAAATAATTGTTTGGAGTATTATGTGTGTGTGTGATGTGTATGACATGTATAAAATGTACAGCATAAAAATAGGTAGGTAAGTTTAGTAGGTACCTAAATAGTATACTATGTACAATTAATATTCATGTAATCGACTATCTTCTAATAATTTTGAAATTGTTATTCAGTGTCTACTAAATACTCACAATAAGATAAATAAAAGTATGCTAAGTTTCCAAAAAAGACTAATACAAATGAAAAAAGAAATGTTTCTTGGTGATTTTAACTCCCATTCTAATGTATAAAAGGAAATTAATCTATCATGGATATTTATGTTTAGTTTAAATGTATTACCTATGTAGGTAGTATAATATAAACATTAATTGATAATTATTTAAAAAAAATATATATTAAATATTAATGTCCCTATTATATTTAATAAAGAGAGAAATAAAGAATTTGAAAAAGTTTTGGGAGTCTGAAAAAGCAAAATCCCGCAAGGCCTTCACAGCAGAGAGAAGTGCAAGATTAGGCACTGGAGGTGGTTGTCTACCAGAACTCCAACATTCTCAAGATCCTGCTGTGGAGGAATTGATTGGAAGACCGCATATTGTTGAATGGACCAACAGATTTGACAGTGATGGTGTTGCCATCTTAAATTTGAATGGTAGTTTTATTGTCTCATATAATATTAATTATGTTCAGTTTCTATAGTATTTTTATATTCAATTTTTATTTAATATTTAGAAAGTGTAATGGACAATGGAACTCTTGGGCAAAGTATAAGCATAACTGGTATGTATATTAATAAAAATATTAAGAGGATATCAGCAATTTTTTCTAGCATTATTCATTAATAATAATAAATGTAATGAATTAATAGTCCAATTACTTCAAGATTAGGTAAGATGAGGTAAGTGGAACACAATATAAAAATTCAACTTCAACTTAAAACTGAAATATGTTTTGATGCTCTATACAATTTATTGGTTTCACATTAACATTAAATACATCTATAATATTACCTATAATTTTTTTGAATCAGGTTGAACTATGATAATTGAATTTAAAAATATTTTAAGGTACCTTAAATGTATGATGTATTTATCCTCCTATCCTCCTGCCATCATTTAAATATCCTACATTTCCGCCATTCCTTATAATTTTTTATTAATGTTAGAGAGAGAAAACTTTTCATCTAATAATATTAGTTAAATATAATTATAAAACTAATAAAGACACTTTTCAAAAATGTAAAATTTAAAACCAAATACTATAGATCAGAATGATTCTACCACACAAGGGATAATGTTCAAAGAAAATGAGGATACTGAAGTTTTAACAACAAATGGTTTGTACCTATGCAACAAATATATTTGAATAATATTTTACATTTAATATGTAAAATTACATATACTTGTTTTCATTTTCCAGATGATAATCCTATTGTCATTACATTAAGAGAAGATTCTATAGATAGAGGTAATTGTTTTAAATTTTGACATTTTGGAGGTATTAGGTTATTACATTTGATAACTTAGGTAGTTAATTTGTGGTCATCACTAATCACTGAAATTGAGTACCCGTGTTAATATTAACAATATATATTGCCTTGCCTATTATCTATAACACAGTAAAGAAAAATCATTTAATAAAAGACAGATTTTAATTATAAAATGTAATAATTCATAATCTGTTTTTTTAAATAAAATGTTTGTTTAAATTAATTTATATAATATAATGCATTGACTATATACAAAATATGAATTGTAATTAAAGTTGAATTATTTTTATAATATATTAATGACTCTTGTTTATTATATAATAATACTATACCAAAATATTTATGTATTTATGTACCTATGATTTTGTTTAGTAAAATCTGATACTGGAATGGCTTCAAAATATGTTAAAGGCAATAAAACGGATCATATTTTAAAAGAATGTGAACTAAGAGTCAAGCGCCAAAAAATAGCCTTAGATCATGAACAAAAAATGAATGAATTGCAGGTAAATATAATATACAGTTTGTAAGAAGTGAATATACTTAAAATAATTAAAATACAGATGCAGATGGTAAGTCACAATTGATATGAATATTGAATAATTAGGTAGTAAGAACTTGATGTAATAAGTATCTATTCAAATATGAAATTGTATCTAACTATTTTTCAATTGTACTTAATTTTTTTTTGGATTTTATAGATTACAAACACATAAGCAGGTACACCTTGATAGTTCAACATTTTTAAATATATTTTTAATACCTCATTCACATTACTAATCAGTATCATGTCCTTTCTTATTATTTCTTATTGTTCCTTTTTCTGAATCATATATCGGGCTAAACCTTCTCCTTAAATTAATTCCTTAAAATATTACCTATGTTAGAACCAGACGTAAGTAGCTTGTATATTTTAATAATATTATAGTGTGCTTCCAAAAAATTATTTTTGCGCATTCACGATTTTCTGCATACTTGTACATATTTATTTTACATTTTTGTTTAAAGGCTTTTTCTTATTTAAATAATTGTCTTTTTTTTAAAGAATGGCATTTAATAATATTTATACATTTTTATAATAATAGTTATAAATTATAATATTAAAATAATCAGTTTTGAAAATGCATGCATGTAAATGTTATTCTTGTGAATTAAATTCACAGGCCTGGTAATAAATAAAATGTCATGGTTTTAGATTTTGAACCAAAAACTCATTATGCAAGCCACAGTGGCCAAACGGTTGGAAGAAAATAAATTGTTTAAGCTCCAGTGTCAAAAATTGGCGTTAGAAATCAAAAAATTAAAAGATTGATACATATTAAGTATTATATAAATATATAAATATGTATTATAATCTTATGATTACCCATTAAAATTTGTTTTAAAATTAACAGTATACGTAACTAAATTATTACTATACTTATTATGTTATACAATAAACTGTTGTTACTGTTGTTTACTATTTGCTATATTAAAATATATATATGTATATCTAAAAAAATTAATTTGTGTAAAATCAAATTTGTATTATTATATTATTATGAAATAAGTACATTTGATAGAACTTGAAAGTTGAAAGTGAAGTAAGACAACAATTGTGTAACTAATTGTTTGTCTTAAAACAAAAAATACATAAAATTAATTTTAACTTATTATGAACTTATAAGTAATTATACATTACGTTTCCTGTTTAAAATTACTTAGGTGGTTATATTAAAAGTATCTATGATATGCTGGTAACTTATTATAATATTAATGTGCAGTTGCTTAAATTAGATAGGTACACAGCTCTAACTAAAATGTCTAATGATGTATGCACTTCTTGCCGCTGGCCCTAATATATTATTGTCATCATTATACTCTCCATACTCCTCTTCTAAAATGTCTTCCTCGTCATCGCTATCGTCATCAGCATTTTGATATTTTCTTGAAATATTGTGGAGCATAGCACATGCAATAATAATATTTACAATTGTAGAAGGTGCATTGGCCAGACCCCTTTGGAGGCAAGGAAATTTTCTTTTCCAAACTCCAAACACCCTTTCAATAATATTTCTTGTCCTAATTTGTGCTTTGTTATATTTCAGTTCTGGTGGTGTTACAGGGTTTCGCAATGGAGTAAAAAGATAAGTCTTACATGCATAACCTGTTAAAAGAAAAATATATCTTTAAAATCATACCCTTGCAGTTAATCTAAAAAAAAAAATGTAATAACTGTAAGCAGAACATTTATATATCAATTCAGATAATAATATTAAGAAAAAAAAGTTAAATACCACCATCTCCAAGTAATAACATGTTATGTGTACGTTCATCAAAATATTTATTTGCGTAACTGCTACTGAAAATAAAACTGTCATGATAACTGCCTGGCCATCTAACTACTATATCCATAAACTCCATTGATGGACCACATACTGCCTATAGAATAATTTAAGTATTTTAATTATTAATGGTATTAGTTAGGAATACTATGGTTAAAGTGAATTGAATATTATTTCTATTATTTTATTTTTTTTGTAGGTATAGGGCTTCGAAACAGGACATTAGCTTGAGATATTGTAGGTTTTTACTTTTTAATACGTATGTGTAAGTGTGGTAAGGATTTGTCGCTAAAAATCCCGGGAGCAAGTGACACCGGCCGGTGAGTACACTCAGACCAGGTTCCGTAACTGAATGCACACAACAATAAGCCACTGTTTCCAGTATTACCAATATTCATTTGTGATATACCATATACACTATAATAGTATAATGTATAATGTAGTATAGGTACCTACCTAATTAATATGTTATTATAATATATAATTATAATTATATTATCAACCTGAAAACTTACCTGGACATTTAAAGAAAAGTAACCCTTTCGGTTTCTAAACGCTTCCGAATCCGGACCACCTGGGTTTTGAATTTTAATGTGGGTGCAATCAATGCACCCTCCAATTCCAGGCATTTTGTACATTTTATAAAATTTATCCTGTACAACTTTCCATTCGTCAACATTTCTAGGAAAATGTACGTGGTGTTTTGCATTACTAGCCATAATTTTGGATAGACGTGTTATTATTCTGGAAACCGTTGATTGGTGAATTCGCCTTAAATCACCATTAACAATCTAAAAAAAAATGCCCTTGTAATATAATTAAGGTAAGAGCAGTATTTGTTGGAAAAGGTTAATAATACATGGTGGGAACAAAAAGCTCAAAAATACTTTTATAGGCTTACTTGAAAGTTGGATGTTCCATAAAACCTTAAAAGGGTTAGAAGCTGAAATAGAGGTGGGATTGGTAAACCACGATTGTTCCGCCTGTCTTCAATGTTTATCATTGGCATTAATTTGTCTCTTACTATTTCTTTCGAGAACCTAAATTATTTTGAGTGTATTTTAGTTAATCTGCTTTTTAATCTTGGTAGGTATTCATTCATGTAGGTACCTACATTCACTAATTTATAATGAAATAATTTTATAATGAACAATGTACAAAATTAATTCATTATTTTTATGAAAAAAAAGAGCAGTGGCAAAAAATAAGGTTACAAAAAATGTCCTATATCACCAATTACATTTTTATGATTTGTATAAATGTATTTATAGGTAGAACTGTAGATGTAACAGAAAGACCTGACAAATGAAATAACTTAGTCTATATCAATATTTTTTAATTTTTTTTTTATATATACCTGCTTAATTAATTTACAAACCCTTGGGTTACATGTTGTACCAATAAGTAGTAGGTATAAAGATGTGTGTTTTACTTTTTATTTTTGTGTCTATCATCAACGTTTGGGGCAGTAAAACTGATTTGATTTTCTTCAATAATATCTTGTTTGAAGGAAAAGTGAATCTAGTTAGTGATTTCAGGAGGTCAACATTTTAAATTCCAAATAATTAACAAAAACGCAAGGAAATACAAAAAAAAAAAATTAAGGAAAAACGGGAATTTTTACACAAAATTGGTTTTTAACAAAATCGATTTTGGTTTTTGGTGTAGGTAACTTTAAAACAAGTAACTGTAGATACAAGATACCTGCGTGACATTTCACTGAGGCATTTTCTATACAGCTTACGATTTTCAAAATATTTTGACTTGATTTTAGTGGTTTAAGGACATTTTCAGTTTCCAATTTTTTTACGTTTTTTTTCTTTAAATGGCAATACAATTTGAATATTTGGGTAAAAAAGCTTGAAAATGTAGTACAATGCTCCTAGTATATTGTTACAATGGCAATTGAAAAATATTAAAAATAAATAATCACAATTTTTTTTATAAGCATTTAAAGTTCAAATGTTGACAAAATAAGTAAAAATCACGAAAATTTGCAAATTATTTTGAGTTAGAAATTCATAACAGTTTTAATTTTTAAATCTAAGAATTAAAAATATTATTAAAAATAAAAACAATATAAAATAATATTTTATAAAAAAAAATTTATTAGATGTAAAATTTACTATTTCAAATAAAAATAAAAAATTGTCATATTATATACGTGTAGGTTAGGAGTTTGGAGTCAAATAAATTATATAAAAATAACATCGATAATCAAAGAAAACCAGTAGCACGCTATATAGTATATACTAAAGGTACTCGAAATTTTTTCTGTAGGTAATATGTATGATTAAAATTGATATGATTAGGTTGTATAATCATAATAGCAAAAACCTTTCGAAATTTTACCTCATAGTCAGAGAAAAAAACCTTGTATCCAACGCAAAAACATGTGTATGTTAAAAAAATTTTAAAAAATAATAATACAAGTTATTTTATTTGTCATGTTTTCCTGCGACCTGCAGCTGCAATATATTTTATACAAATTTCTCCCCACCCTAAATACACCTTTGAAATCTTCACTAAAATATACTTAAGCCTAAAATTATTTATTATAGGTAATAATAAAAACCTACCGATATCTTCTATAAAACTCCAGTGGCGTATACACTTCCATAGGATTTGCACTGTCTCTGATGTATTTCCTTATGGGCACTTCTTGTTCATCGACAGCTAATTGTATGAAGTCAATTAGCTCAAATATATCATCGTTCATGTTTACTTGTTTGTAATTAAAACGATAAATGAAAGTTTAATGAAATAAAACAATTTTTAAAACGATGACGCAGCAGAACAAATAAAAATGTCTTTGTATCAGAATGACTGATATCAAATGTTACGGGCCCGCTATGGGCTGTTAATCCAGCACTTAAATTTAAGGGAGTCCTTAAGTGACAACTATCCCATAAGTATGACTGTGCAACGTAATTTTAAGGGACTGTGCTTAGGTGACACTTAAATTCATTTTAAGTAACACTTAAATGACTGTGCATACGGCGGATAAGTTATAACCTAACCGTTCTATGCCTGTATGGCTTACGGCTACCCAACAACAACATTACTATTAACTTATAATTTTTCGCATTTCACGTTCCACATAAATTATAAATTATAATATAATTTATTATCATTTCTGTGTTATCATAATGGTATCAAGTATCAACTAGCGCGTTTTCGCGGAGGTACCGAGAGCAAACAGTTTGGTCAACTTTGCCGATTGTTTACTGATATGGCATATCAAAGTTATTCATCGCCAAACGCTATTTTTGTAGATTTTAATATTTAAAGTGATAAGGTCACTGGTAAGTGGTAAATGGTAACTGGTATTACCATAATAAAATAAAATTATGGTCAAAATATAAATAAAATAATTATTAATACCTACATTTTTTATACTCGTAAAGTCGTAACTTTTAAATTTTTATAATATTAAATATTTAACTACAATTTGAAATGTTATATTTCTTGTAATGTATTTTTTAATGTTGTCAGTGTATTAAATTCATTGTTTATATTTATTAAACATTGAAGAAAATAATTAATCTTTCGTGTTTAGTTTTTTCTTTGAAAAGATGGATGAAGTAACCATTTCATGTTTAGGATTGCTCCTTCAAGAGTTTTTTAACCCAGCAGAAGTTATTGACAGTATTGATTTTTGTCTGACGAATGAGGATTATGATTTGTTATTAATTAATCTAATTAGAGAAACTCATTTTCGTTCAATTTGGAGTGAAGATTGGATCAACAAATTTACTGCTAGAGATTTTCACAAATTATTTAGAATGACACAAGATACATATGGAAATCTATTAACAGCATTAAGTGTCAATTCTGAATTAATAAAACCATACACAAGAAGAAATAAGCCTGTCTCATTTCATAAAAAAGTTCTTATAAGTCTCTGGTATTATGGTAGAGAAATGTCTATGCATGCAATTGGTAACCAGTTCTATACTGCAACTTCAACTGTTATAATATTGGTTCAAGAAGTCACTGATTGTCTTTGTAATAGTATGGCTAAAAAATTTATCACTTGGCCCAACATTAAAGAATGTACAATAATTGAAGAAGGATTTAGAGTGAGAGCTAATTTTCATAGTAAGTTAAATAAAAATTTTGATTATATTACATATTGTCAACTTACTGCCAAAACTCATTAAACTCACTAATATACAGCAAAGCGTTTTCACATTTATTGTTTGTAACTTTTGTAGATGTCATTGGTGCAATTGATGGTTGTCATATTTCTGTAAAAGTTCCATCTTCAGAACAAGACAGCTACACAAACAGAAAGATGACCAAAAGTATTATTGTTCAAGCAATTTGTACATCCAACAAGATATTTACAAATATTTGTGTTGGGTATCCAGGTCGTGTTCATGATGCTCGGGTGTTTAAAAATTCTGAAATATTCAGTATTATGCAAAATGAAGGGCCAAGCTCTTTATTCTATGACAAATATTATTTATTGGGTGACTCAGCTTATCCAAACTTATCATGGCTTATAACTCCATATAAAAATTATGGAAATCTATCAGCAAGAAAAAGGAAATGGAACTATTTTCATTCTCAAACAAGGGTCGACATTGAATTAAGTTTTGGATTACTTAAAGGAAGATGGCGTAGATTATTATACCTGAATGTCACAAATATTTCAAGAGCCCCTAACATAATCCTTGCATGTTGTGTATTACATAACTTTTGTTTGGTGAATGATGATGAATTAGATGAGATTGTTAATGATGTCCAGCTAGATAACACTTCTCAAACTGATATACAAAATGCAATATATGGAACTGAATCTGGCAATGCAAAAAGAGATGAACTATTAAACATTCTAGTTCCCTAGTGTAGGAAACCTCTCCATCTAGATATATGTTTTAACTGTTTATACATTTTTATATATAATTATATACTTACATTTATACTTAACATGAATATTTTTTTCTTTATACATCTCTATTCATATAAGTATAAATAGGAATACAGTGAAACCTCTAAATACCTGACACAGTCGTTGTGATTTTGTCTGTTATTTAGAGTAGTTCGTTAAGGGAAGTTTCACTGTATAAAAATATACAGAAATCAAGAGATCAAGATCTATTAAATATTTAGTTTATAACAACAGTTTATTTTTATTGATCTATTAAATATTTAGTTTATAACAACAGTTTATTTTTATTTATATATTAATTAAAATTTAACACTTTATAACAAATTAATAAAACATAAAAACATCCTAACATTAAAAGTTCCACTTGACTTAGAACAAACTATCTTTCAAATTTATAATCTAAAAAATGTAAAACAAAAAAAAATAATACAGTAACTTTGATATCACTCCCTTAGAGATCATTAAAAAAAAAGAATAAAAGAACATATTTAATTAATCAGAATCAGATCTTCTACGTTTCTTCCTAGTGGTATTTTCTACTAGCTTAGCAAATATATTTAACATTTCTTGTCTTTGATTATTTTGTATAATCATATTTTCTTTGATATGTTCATAATGTTTTTCCTGCATGTCGAGAACTTCTTTATGCTGTTTGGTCATGTGATCCAATATATCGGATGGACTCACTTTAGATTTTGGTTTAAGACTTTTTTGGGGGTTTTTATGCATACCTTTTGTTATAATTGGATTAGCTATTTCAAAGTTAACTATATCAGCCTGTGAAGTACTTTCTAAAGTATTATTCAATGGAGTTATTATTGTACTAGTTGCCTTAAGAGTGTCTAGCAATGTGGGTGGGGAGACCTTATGTTTATCTTTGATGGTATGCATAACATCATAATACATTGGCTTCTTTTTTGCAGCTTCTCCTGTTTTATTTGCATTATCTTTAAAAGCAATGTATTTATTTTCCAAGTTCCTCCACTTCTGATCGCATTTTTTACCACTTTCCTTTTCATTTACAGCCACTTTGTAACCCAGGTTATGTAGTTCAATACTGATATCTTGCCAAACTTTATACTTTGGTGTTCTTTTAACTTTTAATTTTTGTTGATAAAGACCAGAAGTCACTATTTCAATAAACTTTTCAGTAGCTTCGTTGTCTCGTGGTGTTGAACGGTATGTTGACCAAATAAAGTCTAAAAAAAAATACTTTCTTAATTAAATAAAAAAAACAATAAAATACTAAGTTCAATAAAATATAGTAATAATAAGTAATATCTATCAATTAGGGAACAGAAATATTTAGGTTAAAAATGCATTATTATCTGTTATTAAGTTTTCTATGAAATAATAAGGGCCACGGATCCTTTTAATTTTCTGTTTAGTAGTCACAGTGATTTAAACTTTAAATGATCATCTCACATCTAATACATTATTTAACAAATCTACTAATATTGTTGAGTGACACTATTTTGTATAATGACAGCAGACACAGGAAGATCGTACATTTTTATAGGTACAATATTTAAGGTCTGCATAATACTCATCAAATACCGTAAATTTTTTTTATTACATAAAAAAGGAATCTAGACATACAGCCAGAAATACAGTATCTTGCTATTTACCTGAATCAACTTGAGTGTTGCAACCATCATCATTATCGTCATGACTGGTGTTAAGGTTCCCACATGTTCCTAAAATTATTAAAAAAAAAACCATTTGTTAAGAAACTTATATTTAAGAAGTTCCACCTTTTATTCAATATTATGATTTATGACTATAGTCTGGAATTATATGTATTAAAAACGTACAAAATATGCATGCATTTATGCACTGATTATCATTCAAATATTCACTACATGTACAATATGTAAACAAAAATGCATTTTCTAAATTACATTAAGAGCAGCAGAAATACGTGTAGGTATGTAGTTGGAATGGTAGTATTCTATGAATATTACACAATTGTATGCATATTTTTTAAATAAAACGTATACCAGATCTATTGATCATAATTCAAACTTATAGCTTATCTAGCACCTTTTTGTGACTGTTAAAAAAAAAAACATGCAAATGTATATAAATCCGGGCCCTATTTATGTATTATACATAATGTTCTAAATAAATTCAAAATAATTTCAGCTTTTAACTAAATTTTCATTTATAGATTATAGTCCAGGCTGGATAAAAATTAGAATGTACTTCTGATTAAGTAATAATACATGCTTACAGTCTTATGCGGTCATTGAATCATTCATAATTCTGTCACAATTTATATTATTCATATATTGATATTTACCTATTTCATCATCGCTGTCATCTAAATTACTAAATACATTTTTAATCTTAATTTTTTCAATAATTTCATTTTGGTTTTTTTGACATTCAACACTAGGAATAACCACTCCATGCGAGCTCAAAACTTTAACATTAACATATGCCCAGTCATAACTTCCTTCTGTAAAATGTGTATTATTAATTGGTATATTAAATTCATTCAACAATTTATATTTTATTATTTTAAATACAAATAACAGTGACATATCCAAGGGGGGGGGGGGAGCACTCGTCCGGGATTCATAGTTAGTATATACATGGTGGTACTGCTGCCTTTATTTTTTTTTTTTACTTAGCTTCACAACACTACTGTAAATATAATTATTATTCATACATACCTGGTGTTAATACTTCACACAATACTTAATTTGCGTTGTTTTCATGATAAATTGGAATGTCGTCTTCATTCAAAACCAGTTTTACAAATTTTAGTGCATTACAGTCCGACATTTTTGTAAACACTTTTTATATATATTTTTTGTATTAAAAACCTAACCTAAAGAGCAACTATACAAGTATACTGTAAAACAACAATTCTACAAGACGTTTCACGTTAACAACTAAACACGTTGGAAAATGCAAATTGCTAATAGGCATTGGCCATGGCTAAATGGCAAATGCAATATTATGCAAATTGGCAAAATTGAAAATGGTACTTATTTAATAATAATAACATCTTTTATCAAATGATCGTATGTATTATCAAAGGTACCAAAAGCACTAAACTACTTGAAATAGTCGTTTAGTGATAGGACCAAACATTTTAGTAAACAGTAAACAGTTTTGACAAAAAATTATCGCCAAAACAGATTTTAGTAAACTGTTTGCTCTCGGTACCTCCGCGAAAACGCGCTTATATTATGATATATGATATGACTATATGAGCCGTCAGCCGATTCTCATAAATAACAAAATGGCAGTGCCCATGAGTTCAAGGCCGTGTCCCCACTTTTTTCAAATAGCATTAGGAATTGTGTGAGTGTCGTACCCCGATCTGAAGTCTGAACCTACGAAAAACATGGTATTGGTTCCCGCACCAACATGGTGTTAAGCCGGATTCACAGCTACGTCGTGTGTCTCGTCGTGTTGGTCAATTCGCATTCTGATTGGACGTTTAACTTTTGGTATGTTGGTATAACAAAGAAAAATTATACAAATACTTTTATTCGGATACTTTACAAGGCTTCCCCCCTAATTACGCCTAAGGCCCCCACAGGTTTTATTTTTGTTATAGAAAAGGAAAACTGTCAAAGGCCAAAAGTAGCAGTTCAATTAATAAATGTGTGTGGTGTGTCCCCTGAAATCAGATGTAGTCCCCTCAACTATATTTTTTTTTTATTTTGAGAGCAATTTTTCGTGTTTTTTTTAAGTCAAATTACATTGATGCTGACAACTTGAAAGATGCATTCTCATTAAACTTACGTTTTTTGTATTTGGCATCTATGCCACACATACAGCAACACAACTTTTCTTCTATATAATGCCATTTCATGGTTATATATTTCATTTTGACGTTTCATTTTCAATCACTTTTACGTATTTTTAAATACGTCTTGAAAATGATTTTTATAATATAAATTAATATATGATGGTCCTCAAAAGGACCGTTTTATAATATACACAATTACGTCAATTACGTGATCTTTCGTATTGAAAATTGTACTAATTAGCACAGGTTTAAACAGTAATCGTAAAAAACAGTACTCATTGTCACGTACAATTTTAATCAGTAATAATGACAGTCATGAATTATATTATTTACTAATATCAAGTCAATTTATTTATTTTTCAAAAAGACCGCGCTCTATGGAAAACCAGATACCAAGGTAAACAATATGGTGGTTAACATTGTAACCATAGTTACCAAGCCCACATCTTCAGATCGCACGACACGACACACGACGTAGCTGTGAATGCGCCTTTAGACCCGTGGTTACCAATATTGTGAAATCGGTTCCAAGGCGGGATACGGCTTGTACCCATAGATATTAAAGAATTAATCTTTATTAATCTTTAATATCTATGCTTGTACCACTAATTGTACCTATGTACCATTTTATCATGATAAAAGAACATGGAATGATGACATCTTTTCAAAATAATTGACGGACTGCGAAAAACAAATCGCGGTTCTTTTGATTGGTCAATAGATTCCCGAGAAAATGTATTAATTTTAAATAGTACATCATCGTTTATCTAAAATAAATAGTAAATTGCTATTATTTAATATACTATTAAATTATTATCTTAATATTATCTTCTATATTTTTGATTTTTAACTTGATTAGGTACCACAGAATAAGTTATTGTGTGAGCTAATGCTACAAGTTTCTTAGTTATCCCTTTCGTCATGCCTGTTTGCGTCTTGCGTGTATTATGGTTGTACAATGTAGGTACAACCAGTAACAAAAAAAAAAGGATTATAAAGGATACCTCGGTGCATGTCCATTCTTTCCTAAAAGATGAACAACTAAGACTATTTGTCTCAAACAAATTCATTGGGGCAACAAGAAAATAAAAAATATAAATTTTAATACAGGTGTCACTAAAATGTTTTATAACCAAAATATATCTACTAAGATATTTTGTTAATATTTATTTATTAAAATTTTAGATGTAGTATGTTCCTTACATTTTTCTGAAATCCATTATGTTGAGAAATCTTTGCAACAAAAACTATTAAAACACTCTCCTAAACGTAGACGTTTAAAACCAGATGCAATACCTACGAGGTAGGTTTATTATAATTTATAAATAGTTATAATTGTATTATTAAAACATAATGAAATATTTTAGTTCTTATGGTTTTGAGTATGATGACGTACCTTTCTGTAGAAATACTGCCAGTACTGTTGATCATGTTAAGACTCCATGTGGCTTATTTACAGTGACTAACAATAATCTTGAAGTACTGAATAAAACATATAGGAATGAATTTAAAAGTGATATTGGTTTATTTACTGTAACTTGTGAGCAAAGGTAGTATTTGATTTTAGAATAAGAATATATATATAATATATTTTTTCTTTTATTTATAATAATTTTGTTTAAATATTTCCCTTATTTCCCTATTGAGGTACCTACCTACATAATGTTATTATGAATAATTGATAAACCACAGTAAAACATTTTTTTAGAAAATAAAAAGATACACAAAGATTTTGAGTGTTGATTCTGTTCATTTACCTATCAGGTAATATTATAAAATTTTATTTAAGTCTAAAAGCGCATTATTAAATATTATTGAATAGGTAACTTTCTTATTAAATACAAAAATCGTAACATTAGTAATTTAAATTATTCACTTTTACTGTGTTATATATAAGTAATTGGACTATTATAAATGTGTAAACATAAACTGTTCAAAAATAAAAATAAATTTGGTATCGATGTGTTTATTTTATATCAAACGAATAAAGTTTTATAAATTGCATATCTTTCCAAATGTGTAGTTATGTTAAAATAGTTATACATAATAACATTATGTTGGCTAAAATTAAATATTTAGTAAATTAGCAAAATCTCTCCCCAATCCGCAACTACATATATACATTAATACTATAATAATTATTTATTTTATTTAATCCTTATTGAAATTTGCAGTACCTATGTAAATAAAACAGTCAGTACAAACTAAACATGTTCATTGTTCATAATATTATCTATATAAATAAAAAGGTGGGTAAGTGGATGTCGTTCTGCTGTACAGTAGGTTACAAGAGGGTCACTGTAATGGATGGTGTTAAATTTGAATTCAATGATATAATATCATTGTATAAGAAAAACGATTCTGAGCGAAAACTGTCAGTCAGCCTATGATAGGTATTACAAAGTATATTTGATGATATTATTGTGAATAAAGTAATTTATATATAACCTATTTACGTGGACCCTTGTTTTAAATTTTCAATCCTTAGCTAAGTTGAACATTTTATAAATTTTTAACTACAAAATAATTATTACATTTTAGTATTTTACTATCCTAAAGGCTAAAAGATGATGACTGACACACAAAAAAATGTAAAAAGGGTATAGTTAAGTGAATAATAATAAAATAAAATAGAACATATTTTATGTATTTGTTAAATACCTACTTTCTGTAAAAATGTAGTCACAAATAAAATAAAAAAAAAATTAAAATTGTTTCTAAATGTCTAAATTAGTATATATTGATAGACCGTGCTTAATTTATATAATATGTAAATAATGATTTATGACAATTACTAGATAATATTATATTATAATATTATATTCTTTAGATATTTTATACAATTTATCGTCTGCTTTACATTCTATTATCAAATGTATTTATTGCAAAACAATTTATAAATAATATCTCTTATAACATGTATATAACGGTATAATTTGTATTAATTAATGTTTATTTTAATATTTATTTTTGGCCAATAAATTATCTTATCTTATATTATATAATATACCTATACTATATAAGTATAATTTTTAATGTTTGATTTTTTTTGTTACACAGATGTAAATTTCATAATTGGTTGGTCTACGTTAAAATATATAATTTTATCATCAAATTATCTGCAAGTTTAAAAAAATAATTATTTAAATTGTAGTATTATTAAGCGATTTATAACAATTTTAGGATATGAGATTTTTAATTTGTGTAAAATATAGTGAGCAGAATAATAATATACGAATTAATATAAATTATATCATGAAAATAATAAAACAATTAATAATCTGTCACCAGCATAATAATTGTTTTCGTACCGACTATCTAGTATCTATAAACGGCAAGTATACCCGGTCACGATATGAAAACCTGTTTTGGCCTTTGGTGGGGTATGGTTACAGGCCTAAGCGGGTAGAGTGTCTGAATTCTGTTATCGAACGCTACCGCTATATTGTCGGCAGGGCAGCACATGACGGCTGTAAATTTCTAATTTTCGTTCCAAAAACATGTTTTCGTACTATTCCCATTTTCCTCAGCCCTCGTTAGTTGTAGAAACATAATGTTTTCACCGAAATAAACTTGAGAAGTTCTTCTAAATTATTACGAAACCAGATTTTTAAAATGTTTTGTTGTCTATTTTATATGATTTTTTAAATATTTAAACATTTTGATAAATTTAAAATGCAAATATAATCTGTTTGAAAAAAAAATTGGTTTCGTAATAATGTAGAAGAACTTCTCACGTTTATTTTAGTGAAAAATCATGTTTCTACGACTAACGAGAGCAGAGGAAAATGGGAAGCACGAAAGCATGTTTTAACGGCCGAATTTTTCTACCAGAACGGCCTCTTAACTCTTTCCGGCACGGTGGAACAAATAGTATACCACCTATAAAATATTTTTTTTTCTATTTTTAGTAGTTTGTTGGTTTAATTTAAGATATTTAATATGTTTTCCATTATATATGGCTCATGCGTGTACATTTCTAGAAGTCTACGATTATTAAATATCAGTTAATTATTTTTTTCAAATTATTATATTTAAAAATTTATTTTTAAAACTTAATGTTTAATTTTCTCCTTATCGAATCGACCGATTTGTATGATTTTTTTTTTCATTTAGTTCTAAATATAATATAGTTTAATTTAATATTAGTTTTGATTAGCTGTCCTAAATATATATCTTAATATTTGTGCAATAATGAGCGTCCATTATATGTCCCACCGTGCCAAATATTGAAATAAGAGAAAATGAAGAACTTGCTGTGCCTTTACCGGATGAAAATGTTATACCTGAAAATAGTACATTTCAACAAACTGAGTTTATCGAACCTATTTGGTCGAAGAAAAATAATATAAATATTGAAATTGTTCCATTTGACTGTTCACAAGGGCCAACTTATATTTTAGATACAATAACTGAAATTACTCCGCTGTCTGTATTTAAACTTTTAATCACAGATGAAATAATTAACTATATAACATTTCAAACAAATTTATATGCTAATCAAATTTACTTAAAAAATGGAAAACCTTACTCAGAAACAAATACTAATGAAATAAATGATTTTATTAGTTTGAATTTACTAATGGGTATAAAAAAACCATGCAGCTATCGGGATTACTGGTCTTCTGCTCCAGATTTACACGATGATTATGTAAATATAATATTATGCCAGTGAATAGGTTTAGTTGGTTGTTATCACATTTACATCTGAACGACAATTCCGTAATTCCAAAAAAAGGAGACGCCAACTAGGATAAATTGTACAAGGTAAGGCCATTTCTCAATTTAATTTTAAAAAATAGTCAGGCAGTATACAATCCAAATAGAATAGTAGCTACCTATGAATCAATGATAAAATTTAAAGGCTGTCATTCATCAAAACAATATATGCCTAAAAAACCCATAAAAAGAGGATATAAAGTATGGGCTTTGGCAGACAAGTACGGGTACCTTTGGAATTTTGATGTATATACAGGCAAGGCTGGTGATACGGTAGAAAAATATTTGGGAGCACGTGTAGTGAAAAACTTATCTGCACCACTTAAAAATAAAAACTATTTTTTATACTTTGACAACTATTTCACTATAGTTATCCGCTTATGTCGTACTTGAAATCAAATGGGATTTATGCTTGTGGAACAGTAAACATGACAAGAAAACATTTACCACAGCTAAAAGATAACAAGTCCTTAAAACAAGGAGAATATGATTGGAATACCGATCAATTTTCAATATCAATTATTAAATGGAAAGATAAACGATCAGTTAGTCTTTTATCTAATTTCCATGATCCAACTGACACTGATATTGTACCTACTAGAGCTAAAGACGGAACTTTGACAATGATACCTTGCCCGAAAGTTTTAAAAGACTATAATGAAAACATGAATTGCGTCGATAAATTAAATCAAAACAAAAAGTCCTGCCAAATTGACCGCAAAAGCCAAAAATGGTGGCACCGTATATTTTTTCATTTCATCGATATAGCAGTTGTAAATTCACATGTTATATATACAAAATCCACTGGAACAACAATAACTATGAAAAACTTCCGACGTGATATATCAAGGGAGCTACTAAACAAAACAATTGTTTGTAAACGTCAATCTAAAAGCACTAAAAAATCACCAGTGGAAATTGAAAAACACAAGCCTTTTGTACCTGACTCTCTTCGTTAGGAAAAATCAGCTCATCAATCGAAAATATCGACAAGAAGAAGATGTGCAAAATGCAGCACAAGAGAAAAAGAAGTTAGAACTGAGTGGATGTGTGCAGTATGTAACGTTCCACTTTGCATTACAAAAAACCGAAACTGTTTTGCTGATCATCATAAGTAAAACTGGTAAATAATTAGAATAAGATAATATTATAAGTAAAATAGTTTAGAACAAAACTAAAAATATTTTTTTTTTCAGTTTGAAGTCAGTGCAAGCCAATAATGAAACATATAAACATTTAAGCAAATATAATAGTAGTAGTAGTAGTTTTTTTTAAATTAAAAACTATACAATTTTAATTTATTATTATTTACGATAAATCTGATAAAAAGTCTTGGAACTATGATTTGATATAAATTTTAATGTATTGATAAACTTTGTATTTTGGGATCATTGTTTTTAATGGGTGAAGTGCTAGTATTCAATTTTGTATTTTCTACTTCGGCAAAAAATTGAGTTGGACTGTCATTTTATAGGTCAATTTTTTTTAATACCATAGAAAAGTACCTATATAATATGTCTTATACCTATACTGACATACCGTCTCCGCACAGAATCGTTTTTCTTATACAATGATATTATATCCTTGAATTCAAATTTAATACCATCCATTATACAGTGACCCACTTGTAACTTACTGTACAGCAGAGCACCTTTCTTTTTTTAGTTTAGAACATTTTAGAACATTAAAACTTTAAATATCCGTAAACAGCTCAAAAAGAGTCAAAATATTTTAAAAATTGTATGGTGTATAGGAAATGCTAATATAAAAATTTAATTCAATTTTCATGAATCTACAGTTATTCGTTTTTGAATAACAATAAAATAAGGAAATCACTACATGAGCAATCCAGTGAATATCCAATGTTGTAAAAATTTGAATTTCAAATGCTCCTAAAAATTTAATTTGACTGTCTTATAAACATTTTTTTTTTTGATAAAAGTAGATAATCTTATAAGGAATCTTGTATTACATTTTAAAATCTTAGATTTAAAAAGTAAAATTTTTACGAATTCTTAACTCAAAATATTTGTCTAATTTTTGCGATTTTTCCATATTTTGTCAATTTTTGAACTTTTTTTTCCCACACCTGAAGAAAGAAGTTTTACTTCAAAAATTAAGAAAACAAAATAATTGCATTACAATTTGTAGGATGTACAATATCGTATTTACTATTTAATAAAAATAAAACTCAATGATATATTGATATTACCTATGAGTCCATAGATCAAACACGATAATTAATACGATACCGTTATATTATATTATGGTAAGGTACTTTTGAATGACGTATACAACATAATAATATTAGACTAAATCTCAATGACGTTTGGAAGCCCGACCAGAAAGGTCAGGCAATTGAAAAAATTAAATTTCTAGATTCCTTTGAGTGCTCCCCCACGGAAAGATTTTTTCGATTTGAAAAGGAACCGGAGTTGTCGATTGCTGGTGTTCGCTTCTTTAAGGCGCGTTTACACGGTTGTTCACTCTTTCTATAGCCGGTGACAACTTTGGATGGATCATCCAAAGTGAATGAAAAATAGTAATGTAAAATAATCATCCTCATTGAACGATGACCCAAGTTGGACCAATGTAATCATGTACTACTTTCCCCCACTCTGGAATATCCTCCAAAATTGTCACCAAAGGGAACAGTGTAAACGCGCCTATATATAACATCGGCGCGGTCACGGCGCTGTGCAGTCGGCTGGTATTCACACAACACCGTTCAGTCGGTTATCAAGTCGTGGTTGGGGTCTGCACTCGGTGCAAACTTTTTAGTACACTGGTCGACGGGTGTGATGGTCGACCGGAAAAACTTGTGGTCACAGCTCGCCCGAAACGCCGGGCTGCCAGCTTCACGACCACGTTAGCCAATGATTATGCTCGCCAACGCCATCTGTCGACCATTTTCCGAAACACCGGAGCTCGAACTAATATTTCTGATCTCCTATGACATCAATCATTGTTATTACAGTGTCATATGCAGTGGCGTGGCGTAGCGAACTTTAAATCATATGTAAGCAAACAAATTATGTATGACCTACCCCACCCAACTCCAACTGATGTAAACGATACTTATATTATGCTCAAATAGTTGCTCTGGTAGCACCCAAAATAAAGTTCAAAGATTGACAGTGGCGTTTTCTCTGGGTGTGCAAGTTGTGTGCAAGTTGATGTCATACATGTGTGTAATATTGTAATTTGTAATTCATATTAGTATATTACATGGTTATATAATTTTATTTACAAAATCTTAAAATAATTGTGATTAAAAAATAATAATATCAAATAATAAACTATTGTCTATTTTAAGCTCTGAACAGCTAAACTCGACCATGCGCCCGGGCCGTCTGCAGCTACGACGCCGATTACGGAATAATATTGTATTATGTTGTGTTTGTGTAGGGTGTAGCCGTGTAGGACGTTAATAATTCGAACAACGACTTGTGGTATCTAATATCTCATATTCGTAATTTGTCGTGATATTTTCGGATAACTTCGGTGCCATGTTAATACTAGACCAAGTCGTTGAAAATGAAATTAACGACTAGCCACTATTCACTAGTCTTATATTCTAGCGCTAGCCTGTACACTGTGTTTGGACCGTTAGTGGGGATCGTCGCGGCTGCACGTTATCCTGTTTACGTCGTAGCCCCTTAGGTACCTACTATACTGCAAGACTGCATTACTGCAACGCCGATCGTCGAAAACATAATATATAATAAATCATTTTAATAATATGTTGATTATTAATAGTTGATACGAATTTATTTCCCATAAGGGGGGTTTTCCTAATTGTTTTCCTCACACATTAACGCCTAACGCCGAAAGTCAGGAAACGCCACTGAAGACTGACGGCGTATATGAGGTTATGACCTACCACCACGCCCCCAGCAAACAGAAGCGATTGCTTCTGAAAGCCACTCATATTTCTCTCTTTAGCCCGTGTACCGCACAGTCCTTTGAATTCCACGACGAAAACAATAAAATGTTATACCAGAACTGCGTACAGTGACCGGACCGTAGAACAGAATATTATGAATTCCAAAAGCTAGAAATTGCGCAGGACACAATTTACGACGGGCGTTTACACGGGTCGAATAATCGTGAGTAACAACAGCCAACAGGTAATCCTGGTGGTGAATGTCTTAACCAACGGGTAGTCTAGGTAAATTTTTTTACAATTTTACATGCCGCAGGAGGACGAACTAGAACAAACTATAAAGTATGAAAGTATGCAATATGTTTGAAAATTTAAATTCAATGAGAAATGCGATATTACAAGGATCCTGAATCACAATCACAAATAGTTTTATAATATATATAAGTGTGCTAGGATTCAATATCAATATTAATATTTTGTTTAATGTATAATACTCTGGTAGATAATATATTATTGAATTTGAATAGTTTGATTCCGTGTAGCGTATATTATTATTGGAATTAACTGCATGTATTAATAAAGAATTCCAATAATAATTTTATTTAAATACCTACTTTGAATTATGATCATAATAACATACAAGATTAATATTATTAACTACTAATAATTAGAACTAATGCCTAGTAAAATATGATATAATAGTGATTCAGGTTCCTTGTAATATCGGTTTTCTCATTGAATTTAAATTTTCATGCATATTGCGTACTTTTTTGTTTCTTTCTAGTTCGTCCTGCGGCATGTAAAATTGTAAAAAATGTACCTACACTACCCGTTAGTTAAGACATTCACCACCAGGATTACTTGTTGACTGTTATAGTTGTTACGGTCCGGGCTTCTGTACACAGTTCTGGTACAATACATTTTATTGTTATCGTCGTGGAATACAAAGGACTGTGAGGTAAACGGGCTAAAGAGACATATGCCACTATAATAACAATGATTGATGTCGTAGGAGATCAGGAATATTAATTGTTCGAGCTCCGGTGTTTCGGAAAATGGTCGACAGATGGCGTTGGAGAGCATAATCATTGGCTAAAAATTAAGAAATTAAGAATTCCTAAAAATTTTTCTTTTTAAATCTAAGATTAAATAATTGCATTACAGTTTGTAGGTTGTACAATATCGTATTTACTATTTAATAAAAATAAAACTCAATGGTATATTGATATTACCTATGAGTCCATATCAAACACGATAATTAATACGATAGGTACCGTTATATTATATTATGGTGAGGTACTTTTGAATGACGTATACAACATAATAATATTGGACTAAATCTCAATGACGTATAGAAACCCGACCAGAAAGGTCATGCAATTGAAAAAATTAAATTTCTAGACTCCTTTGAGTGCTCCCCCCACGGAAAGATTTTTTCGATTTGAAAGGGAACCGGATTTGTCGATTGCTGGTGTTCGCTTCTTTAAGAGGACGCTACACCCGCATGTGTTGTCTCCGTCTTACACACGTACGACATAGACAAAACGCGTTTAGGCAGTCTGAGTATAACTCGCTCAATTTTGGTTCTAGAGTAAAAATGCCTATTATGAAATTGAATTGTGATAATATTTCTAAGGGCAAGACTCAGAGGTTTTTCCATTATACCCAATATAACGTTCATTATATCGTTTAGAAATAGAAAAAATTTCACCATTTTTACAATACCTTTGACTTTTAAAAAATTAAATTTTTTAAAAAAACCGCAGCGTCTTGCCCTTAGAAATATTATCACAATTCAATTTCACAATAGGTATTTTTACTCTAGAACCAAAATTGAGCGAGTTATACTCAGACTGCCTAAACGCGTTTTGTCTATGTCGTACGTGTGTAGACGGAGACAACACATGCGGGTGTAGCGTCCTCTTAAGGCGCGTTTACACACACGGTTCACTCTTCAATACCTGGAGATAATATTGGATGGATTATCCACAGTGAATGAAAAGTAGCAATGTAAAATAATCATCCTCATTGAACGATGACCCAAGTTGGACCAATGTAATCATGTACTACTTTCCCCCACTCTGGATGATCATCCAATATTATCCCCAAAAGTGAACAGTGTAAACGAGCCTATATATATCATCGGCGCGGTCACGGCGCCGTGCAGTCGGCTGGTATTCACACAACACCGTTCAGTCGGTTAACAAGTCGTGGTTGGGGTCTGCACTCGGT